CTGCTCTCGCTCATGGAGAGAGCTCCACAGGGTTTGAGCTTGGGTGAGAAAAGGCGAGCAGTAACACTGGCTTTCGCCATTTTGCAGCGCACCCCAAACAGCGCAGCGGCCTCACGGAGCGCCCTGCGGGGAGTGGGGGGGACCCTCAGCATCAGCGCAGCATCACGCCTGCGACTTGGCCCATGTCTGTGAACACCGGGAATCAGTACTGTTATGTGCATTATTTGGTAGGACTTGGTGGGTTTGTCTTCTGGAAAGCTCAAAACAATGCCCCCCATAAATAAACGTGAAATGCTTCTCTGCTTTAAGCCTTCTCGGCTGACTATAGCCTTCCCTGGACAGCTGCCCTTTTGGCCGGCGGGGGAACCCTGCATTCCTTATTCTAACCCCTAAACCCAGAGGGTCATTTAAGGCTGGCTGCTGTTTGCACAGGTTACAAAATAGTTACAACTTTTTGCATTGATAAAACCCTTGACCTTCCAAGAAAGTTTTAAGGAAATGAAATATTTAACCCATTTCTTTCTTCAAAGAAAATTCTTTTGAGGGCGGGGGGCGCAGGAGGTGGGCGCGTGTTACTAGATATCTAGAAAGAAAACTTGTTTCAGCTCAAAAGCATAGGGAAACCATGTGTACCATTCAATTCCTAAGAAAAACGAGGCAAAAAAGCTGAAAGCTCTGGATAAGCGCCAAGTCTGCACTGAGTACTTGGTCGGCTACCCAGCAGAAATAGAAGGAAGCTATTCCAGAACATACAGAAACCATGGAAGGCCTTTTTGCAAGAACAGGACTCTCGCTCTGCTAAAGCTTCTTGTCCCACGTCTGCATCCACGATGCCAACGCACGGGGGCAGGCACGCCCTTCTTCCCTCTCCGATGATGCTGTCCGCGGATGTCACGGAGGAAGCTCTGGAGGCAATCCAGGACGGCATTCCTGTTCGGCCCGAAGTAGGTCTGGCGCGGAGGCATCTTCTCCTGGGTCTCCTCCTCCACCTCCAGGCTGCAGCTGCCCTGGGATCCCAGAGCCGCGGCTTCTTTGGCCTTGAGCACATTCCCCCTTTCCAGACGGCGCTGTTCCATTTCCAGCTTCTTTGGCCTCCTTCGCTCTCGCAGCTGCTGAAGGTCTTGCGACTAAGGGGCCATGGCAGCCAGGGACCCAAAGGCGGGGGCGAACCGCCTAAATCTCACAGTTGTTCTTGGAACCCCTCAACATTGCAACTCAAGCTTGAATTTTCTTCTTCAGTTCTGTAGCTTGAGAA